TGGACTTTTTATACCATTTGAAGAGTGTGTTTATCATTTAACAGGAATTTTATGTATCTGTATCGGATGATGCAAGGGTCATTACAATGCTCAAAGAGCAACTCCCAGAGCTAGAGAAGACTGTGAAACAAATGTAAGTATCAGATCAAGCTCATTGCACCAGACTGATCTCTGTCAATGCCTAGCATTATAGTATATCTAAAGCATTATCATTGTTAGACTAATCTTAAGCAGAAAAGCTGTGCAAAAGGCACTCCAGCCTTAACTGTTTGTGGCATTTGCTTCTTCAGGTGAGTGTGACCCTGTTGGAACTCAGTCTTGGAATTAGAATCAAGCAAAAGAGCAACTTCGTTGCGCAAGGATCTAACCTGAGCTTGTTTTAACCCATCCAATTCCTCATAGACTCTAGGCACTGGGTCAAGCTATTCTCCAAAGCACCTGAGGGCAGAACAAGAAGCAATGGGTGGAAACTAATCAAGGAGAGAAGCTACTTAGAACTAAGGAGAAATTTCCTGGCAATGAGAACAATTAATCAGTGGAACAACTTGCCTCCGGAAGTTGTGAATGCCCCAACACTGGAAGTTTTTAAGAAGATGTTGGATAACCATTTGTCTGAAGTGCTGTAGGGTCTCCTGCCAAAGCAGAGGGTTGGACTAGAAGACCTCAAAGGTCCCTTCCAACTCTGTTATTCTGTTCTATTCTAAATGCAAGATTAAAAAAACAAATAAACAGACACAAACCATCTCCTCTTTGCTAATACTAAGCAAACAGACCATTGTGGGACTTGCAGTCTGCAGATGTAACTTATTTATAAAATGTATTTGCTATCTATCTCTGCAACATTTTGAACTTTTCTGACTAATATGTTGTGGGAACAAGACACTATGCCTGGGACTGACTCAACGTTCTTCGTTCATTTACCCCAAATTATCAAATCTCTCTGCAGAGATAACAATCCACCCAAGGATTGAAAAAAAACCCTGGTCTTTCAGAAGGTGATAACCAAACTATTATCTTTCACCGGAAACTCATCAATATTCCATAATAAAGAGCTAATTCAAGATGGACTAACAGCCTGTTGCCTACATGGCAGGGTTTTTTTTTCTTCTGGCTGAAAGACTGAAATCCTTTGGCAGAAAATGGGTCATAAGTAACCCTCGGGAGGTCCGTCGTAACTTCAGATGGCCGTTAAGCGACTCATCGTGAGTCGAGGACTACAGCCTCCTGGGTTATTAAAGCTACTAGATAATCCTTGAAACGCTGCATTTTCTGGATCTTCTTAAATTTTCTTGCAAAGCAAAATAGTAGAATTGGAAGGGACCTTGGAGGTCTTCTAGTCCAACCCTCTGCTCAAGCAGGAGAACTTATACCATTTCAGACAAGTGGCTGCCCAGTCTCTTCTTGAAAACCTCCAGTGATGAAGCACCCACAACTTCTGGTGGCAAGCTGTTCCACTGATTAATAGACAAACAGACTTGGAAGGGACCTTGGAGGTCTTCTAGTCCAATTCCTTGCTCATGCAGGAAATTCAATTTCAGATAAATGGCTATTCAATCTCTTAAAAACCTCCCCATTGTTGGAGCATTTACAAGTCCTGGAGGCGAAATCATTCCACTGATTAATTGTTCTCACTGCCAGGAAATTTCTCCTTAATTCTAGGTTGCTTCTCTCCTTGAATTAAGGAGAAATTTCATGACAGCTAGGGCTGTCTCAGACAGGGGTGGGGGTCAAGCTATTTTCCAAGGCACCTGAAGGCCAGACAAGGAACAATGGATGGAAACTAACCAAGGAGAGATTCAACCTGGAAATAAGGAGGAATTTTCTGACAGTGAGAACAATCAACCCATGGAACTGAAGTTCCCTTCAGAAGTTGTGGGAGCTTCATCACTGGAGCCTTTCAAGAAGAGACTGGACTGCCACCTGTCAGAAATGGTGTAGGGTCTCCTGCTTGGGGGAGGGGTTGGACTAGATCAGTGTTTCCCAAACTTTTGACATATGTGTACCCCTTCCTCTTTCTTTCCCTTGCATTGCCTTCCTGCAAACTGGACTCCTCAATGCATATGTGG